AGTCTGCCTGCTCTTTGGTAAAACTATTATTTTTTGTTATTATACATCTGCCCCTCATTAAATATTAAGTAATATCATGTTGGCAGCCCTATGGAGATTTTTAAAAAGTAAACCTTTGACTTTAGATTAACTCCAGGTATATGGAAAAGTCCAAAGATGGTACAGGAAGTTCCCATATACCTTGCACCAGTTCCCCCAACTGTTAACATCTTACATACGATGGGACATCTGTCACAACTAAGGAACCGACATTGGAGCATGACTTTTGCCTACACTCCACAGTCTATTCAGACTTCCCTTGTGTCCCTCTAATGGCCCTTTCCTGAATGGGGGTCCCATCTGGGATGTCACCTTACAGTTAGCCTCCGTAACCTCCTCAGGTCTGGGCGAGTCTTAGACTTGACTTGCTTCCTTTATGATCTTGATGGCTTTGAGGCATGCTGGTCAGGTGCGCTGTTCCTCCATTTGAGTCTGTTTCTCACACAGATGTGTTACTCCTAGTTTTACAGGTGCTGTCTCCTAAATGGTAGTTTGTTTCCCCGCACGGTTCATCTCAATTTTGTTGTTGTTGTGTTTTGAGTTGGAGTCTCACTCCCATTGCCCAGGCTGGAGGGCAGTGGCATGCTCACAGCCACCCCAGCATCCACCTGCGATCCATCTGCCTCAGTCTTCCAAGTAGCCAGGACTACAGGCACCCGCTACCACATCTGGCTACTTTTTTATTTATTGTGGAGACGAAGTCTCGCTATGTTGCCCAGGCTAGTCTCAAACCTGTGGGCTCAGGCAATCCACTCACCTTGGCCTCCCAAAATGCTGGGATTACAATCTGAGCCACCGAGCCCAGCCAGTCTCTATTTTTTTAATTGTCTACTTCAGTGTCAGCTCATCTAAACTTAAAGGGTCTCCCTCCTTGCCCCTGGCATCTGGTTAGTGGAAGTCGGGGCTTTACATAGGTAAGGGTTTGACGTTTGTGTGTGCTAAAGTCTGAAGGATTTCTACTATCCTAGACCAGCGTTTATGTTACTTTCTTTGCTTAGCATTTCTGGTAGAAGACCAGGTACATAAGTTTGTACCCTCTACCCTTGTGTGATGCAGGTATAGGGTCTCAGTACCTTGCAGATAATTTACTCTCCCCATCCAAGATCCTGAAGAGAGGACAAGCACCATGTGCAATTTCCTGGACTAGTGGGCAGAGTTTTCTGGCCCCTTTCATAAACTGTCTTTAGGCCAGGCTGTTTCAGTTCCCTGACACCCACGGGCAAGGTCGTGTCTCCACCCACTCCAATGGGCATGAAGTCCAACTCAGTCCTTCGACCCTAACAGGATCTGAAGCCACTCACCACTCTGTCTTTGGTTCCTCCCTTTATTTCTACCTCTGGCATCTCTCTCCTTCTTAGTCCTCATTGTATATTAAAAGCCATTTTTGTTCCTATATGTGTTTGTGGTAGGACATCCATGTCAGCTGCATTCACTATGTTACCGAAGTGCCAGTGGCAAATGTTTAGCTTGTTGTAAGAGCTATCTCTCTTGTCGGTGACACGTAACTTGGTGTGTTTTCTGCAGTGACAAGTAGGGTACATGGCCGTATCCACTAAAGTGTGAATGCATGAATGAATGAGTAGAGATTAAGATTGTCAGAAAGAAGATGACCAGTCTTGGTGGAGACACATTGGCAAAGGACTGACAGAGTCTGGGAGATTCTGAGTAGGCACACAGCCCCTCTGCCCAGTGCTCCAAGCCACAATGGTCCCGCCCTCACGTTGCCTTATTCAATCATGGGGACAAGATGATTTCACCAGAGGCTCACCTAACAGAGCTACCCGTTCACTTTCTACTTCCACTTGAACCATTGTGCGGTGTAACCGATTTCTCTTTTCTCTCCTGAAAGAGGGAACTGAGGAGTGTGGGTGGAGTTAGAAGCATGAAAGTTTCATCGTGGAATTGCATGCGGTGATCTCAGGTAAGATACTCCCTAGATGGGTGGACGCCACTGTACCCTCTTCGTGTCTCTGCAGGGCCGGCCTCTCTGGACCCTGCAGAAGAGCAGGGACACGGGTTGATGAGCCCCAGCACGGTCACATCCTTGACCTCCTGTAAACAGGCACAACACTGGCCTTGACCTGCTATTGGCTGGGTATACTATGCCACTGCAGGGCTCTGCCGTGGGAAGTCCTCACTTGAGAACACCCTCTAGTCCCTATCTTCCCGTGAAACCTGGTCTGCAGTAGGAACTAAAGGTACACACAGCTCACAACCCTCACCCAGGGGCTGTTCTGCATTTTATCACCTAAGACCAAGATCACGGATGGGCATTTGAGTACTTGGAAAGGGTGAAGCCAAATCGTAAACTCTCTGTGGGGTTTCTAAGTGACAGGATGGGCTGAAGAGGTCTCCTCCTCTGCATTGCAGGGGACTCCCTCATGCTCTGTGGATACACGGAGATGGTAGCCAAGTTCCACCCATCCTTGCCGGGGGGGGGGGCACATAAGAAGTCCCCACAGATGCTTGTGTAGCAGGGGGTCCTGTGAGGCTGAAAACACTGAGGCCTGCTACCCGACCCTGTCTCAACAAGAAGACTCTGCCGAGGGCTTATATAACTCGGGGTAGGGGGAGTCTGGTGGGTCGGGAAAGGGAGGAGCTGACTTGGAAATATTTTTGCTCCACTTTCTTAAGAAATATTTATAAAGATTGGCAGAAAGTGCAGGTGACAGAATAGAGGGACATTGGAGTTGACACCGTGATGTGGCGGGGGATGTGGTGCCACCAGACAGAAAGCCTGGGGCTCGGCTGTCACTTGCTGGGCACGGACCTTCTGCGGCGTGCGCGGCTTCCTGGGCTCTGGGAGGACCTGGCCTTTGAATGTTTATAAGGTCAGACCCTCTGGGGTTTTCAGCCCCGGGGATACTGCACGGCTCTGAGGTTTCTCATGGTCTAATGAATTCAAGATCAAAATGGCTATGTCAGGGCAAAGAGCCGCACGCTCCCACCCCAGGCCCTGCACTACACAAGCAGTCTGCAGGGTGTGATGAGTCATAATTAGCCCTTGTTTTGGGTGACATTTCTTACATTCTGAAGGCTCGGCCTTCCTCATCGACCGTCTCATTTGATTTTCACAACAGGCATCATCTTAATGAATGATGCTGGAGACAGGGTGAGGAAATCACTTGAGGGTCTGAGAGGCAGGAATAAGAAGCCGAGAACAGGCAGGAATTTGACCTGGAACACGCCAGCCCATGCATGCGTTAGGAGCTTCGTGGAGCAGACACATCTCTTAACACGCAGCCCTAGGATCCAGTGGCCACAACAGCCACATTTAACACGCAGGAGCTCTGCTCCGGCTGGGGAAACAGACGCAGTGAAGTGACACGAACACAGTCCTCATGGGGCATAAAGAAGCCCCAGCAAGTTCAGTAGCGAGGAGGATGAAAGAGGAGTCGTGTGAGAAACCAGTTTCCGATGGCTGCGGCCAGCAGACACAGGGCTGATCATCAGAGGCCGTGCCATTTCCTTGTGAGAGGATGGGGAGGATATCTTGGGATTGCACCAGTCGGATGGTAGTGGAACAAGCTATTTGCAGGCATGATAAACCAGTGGCCCTGGAGTCATCCAACCTGAATTATATTTTTTTTGTTGGTTTGTTATTTTGGAGTCGGAGTCTCATTCTGTTGCCCAGGCTGGAAGGCAGTGGCATGCTCACAGCTACCGCAGCCTCGACCTGCTGGGCTCCGGCGATCCTTCTGCCTCAGCCTTCCAAGTAGCTGGAACTACAGGTGCACACCACCATGCCTGGCTAATTTTTTGATTTATTATAGTGAAGAGTTCTTGCCAAGCTGCCTAGGCTGGTCTCGAACCCCTGGGCTCAGGCAACCCTCTTGCCTCTGCCTCCCAAAGTGCTGGGATTACAGGCGTGAGCCACCACACCAAGCTGCATTACCTTTTTAAATAACTGTGAATTCAAGCGCCTTTAGCTAGTGCATGTACGATCTGAAGTTCACCATAGTTCTCACCATTCCCAACTGTCTTCATCTGAAAGTCTCCACTCATTCTTATTATCCCTCAGTCCCCTGTGTCACCTGAGTTTCTCGCCCTTGGATGGAAGCCTCCACCCTGGAGGCTGCGGTACTTATGGATCTGAGGCACAAGTGGGTCACGTGCTGGCCTCCATCATGCGACCCAAGGCTGTGCCCTTATCTAGGCCCTGTTTAATTCAAAGGAAGTCGAAGAGAGGAAGAATTGACAAGGCCCAGGGCTGGTCTAGGAAAGGGGAGGAAAGATGAGATGCCAAGGGTAACAATGGGTTTGGCTTGGTCAACTGAGTACGGTGGTGACAGGAAACCCTGGAAAAGGGGCAGCTCTCCATGACAGCAGATGGAGACACAAGCTCAGCTTTGGAAATGCTGAGGGTGACAAGCCTGTGAAGCACCTGCATGAAGACGCCCGAGGGGCAGCAGGCCCCACAGGACAGAAGGCACCAGCCAACAGATGGCAAACAAAGTCATGGTCATGGAGAAGGCTACCCAAGAAGCGCGCCATCAAGGGAGGAGAAAGGATGATGTGGAGACAGAGCCCTGGGGACACTGACACTTAGGAACGGGCCACAGCACGAGAAGTCACCACAGGAGCCTTCCGGGAGCAGGTGAATAGATGGGGAACCAGAGGAGCCCTGAGTTAAGAACGACAGAGAGCTGCATGAAGAGAGGAGCCAAGAAGAGCGCCGACTGCTGCCTCTGGGATGCTTTCTGGACATTAGCGTTCAGGCATTCGAAGGGCTTGGTGGACAGCTTGCGACTCTATCCGTGTGAAGTCACAGGCACCCGTCTGATGGCTCAGTTGCTGCAAACCACCTCTTCAGCTGAGCGCCATGGGCTTCCCCCCATCAGTCTTGGCCCTGTTGGGCTGGGGGTGCTGCAGGGCGATGCACAGACAGCTCAGCCAAGGCGTGAGCACACCACACGCTGCCGGGTGCCCATCCCCACTCTGGAGCCCCGGGGCTGGCTTACCTGGCGCTCTCAAAGGTGGCCGATGCCGTCCTCTCCACAGCCCCGAATCCAACTCCAACAGCAAGACCCTCTGAAACAGACGTGAGAGAGGCACGAGGGGTTAAGAATATTTCCCAGGGAGGAATATCGCCGTCACTGTGGCTGTGTCAGCTAGCACCGCACTAGGCTGCCAGTCACAGGAAACCAACCTGACAGGAGCTCAACCCCGGGGACGGTGAACGAAGGCCCAGGGACCAAACCGGCTGTGGGTTATTTTTTGTACGATTTTTATACTCTTTAAATAGTTGGGAAAAAACATCAAAGAAAGCACACTTCACGACCCTTGAAAATTATATAAAATTCAAATGTTAGTGTCTGCAAAGAGAGTTGTATTGGCACACAGCCATGCTCACTGGCTGACGAATTGTTTATGGCTGGCTTCATGCTACATTAGCAGAGTTGAGTAGTTGTGACAGAGACTGTAAGGCCCGAAAGCATACAATATTTACTGTCTGATCCTTTACCGAGTTTAATGACCCCTGGCCTAAACACGCGGGGCTTTATTTATTAGCTCATGCAACAAGAAGTCTAAGGTTGATATAGCAGCCCAATGATGTCATTGCAGACCGAGGCTTCTTTTTTTTCTTTTTTACCATCCTCACCAATGAGGTCCTCATAGTTGCAAAGTTGACTGTCCCACCTCCAGGCATTTCACTAAGTCCCAGGCAAGAAGAAAGCAGGAAGGCAAAAACCTTTCTTTATTGAACCTTTGTCTCATTACTCGGGAAGAGACACCTTGCCTGGCAGACTTCCCTTATACATCCTTGGCCAGGACGGGAGAAATCACCCACCTCTGGACCAATCCCAGCTCCAGACTTAGAATCCTGAGATTCCAGGACGTGCTGAGGCCAGTCTCCATCCCTCCCCAGGGCTGGGGAAGGGCCTGCCCTGCCCACCCTTCTTGAGATCAAAGGATCTCTATAAGCCACTTAAATAAATTGGTTCTTGTCAGGAGGGCAGTGGGACGGGTAGCAGAATCCCCCCCAATGGAGTCTGGAGACCAAATGCCCTGCTGAGGCTTAAGCTGTTCTTTTGTGCCTCCTTTTACCCTTGTGCTTGATCTCCTGGTGCAGGTATTATGGGGTAGCCGTGGCCACTGTAGGCTGCAGGCTGAAAATTTGGGATTCTGATTCCCCATCAAATATCTTCCCATATTACTTATAATAACCAACTCTGGGACACAGAGTCCTAGAAATTTAGAGGTAGAGGAAGGCCCAGAGATCGGCTGGTGTGGCTCGGGCCACTGCCACATTCAGAAGCCAGGTGTTTTGTGGGGCTTTCCAACACCAGATAGCAGCATAGAAGCTCCTGGGCCCAAGCTCTCAGCATGCACGGTGCACATCAGCAGGCTACAGAAAGTCCCTAAACACTCTCTCTCCTAAGCACTAAGGCTGAAGGCGGCCAGCTGGTGTCGACACTGCCAGAGTAACCAGACTTTCGAAATTGAGGTCTTAAACATTTATTTAGTTTTTATTTACAGTTGACCCTTAAAAAGTGCAGGGGTTAGAGGCACTGATCCCCTGCACAATTAAAAATTTGTGCAGCTGGGCTCTGTGGCTCAGCCTGTCATCCCAGCGCTTTGGGAGGCCGAGGCAAGTGGATTGCTTGAGCCCGTGGGTTTGAGACCAGCCTAGACAACTTGGTGAGACCTCGTCACTACAAAAAATCAAAAATTAGCCAGGCATGGTAGTCCCAGTTACTTGGAAGGCTGAGGCGGAAGCATCTCCGAAGCCCAGTAGGTCGATGCTGGGGTGGCCGTGAGCAGGCCACTGCACTCCAGCCTGGGAGACAGAGTGCAACTCCGACTCAAAAAAAGAAAAAATTCAGGTACACTTTTGATCCCCCTCCAATTTTACTAATAGGCTACTGTTGAATGGAAACCTTATTGATAATAATAACAATCAATGAATACATATTTTATGCTATATGTACTATATACTGTGTTTTTACAATAAGGGTAAACTAGAGAAAAGAAAATGTTATTAAGAAAATGGTAAGGAAGAAAAAATACATTTATAGTACCATACTATATTGATTGAGACCGTAAGACTACATCCTCTGTTTATACGATGAATCATCTGTCTGAAACGGCAGCTACCACAGGTGCAGACCTCAAGCTATGGTGCATACCAAGCAATTCCAGTTTATTTTTGTAATGTCATGACTCTTTGTCTCTGCTCCTCAGGAGCCCTTCCAGCATTGCAAGGGGCATTCTGTATAGATCCCGTGGTGTTACTCAAAGTTTATTGTATTGCACTGAACATAATGATAACAACTCGAGAACCATGAGATTTTTTTTTTTTTTTTTGAGTTGGAATCTCACTCTGTCACCCAGGTTGGAGTGCAATGGCACACTCATGGCCACCCCAGCGTCAACCTGCTGGGCTCTGGGAATCCTTCCACCTCAGCCTTCCAAGTAGCTGGAACTACAGGTACATGCTACCACACACAGCTAGTTTTTTATTTTTTTTTAATTGTAGAGATGAGGTCTCACCATGTTACCCAGGCTGGTCTCAAACCCGTGGGCTCAGGCAATCCTCTCGTCTCAGCCTCCCAAAGTGCTGGGATTACAGGCTTGAGTCTGGCCAAGAGATCATTTTTTTACAGATATACACAATATACTGGAAAGACAGCCAGCTGCATGGAGTTGATGAGTGTCACACGTGTTTTAAGTGGATAATTCCAACACTTGAGTTCACTGCAAGTGCAACAACAGAAAGTAGCTATAAGATTTTACAGTAGTGCAGGATCGACTATAGTTAATTTTGTGCAGTTATAATGTAATTCTGCATCTTTTTGTTTGTTTACTTGTCTCTTGACTGTGAATGGTGCCATGTGTTTTTGTGCAAAAGTTTTGATACATTTTAACTTTTTGTAAGAGATCTGTATATATTTTATGGCAATAAACGATAAAAATGGACTAATACACATGTCATGTATTCATAACATAGTTTTTTCTTGATTTTTTCGATATTTCTGGGCTCCATGGTGCATATGTAAATTTTTTTCAAATTGTCACAAATCCTCAACATTTTTTTCAATATGTTTATTGAGAAAAAAAATCTGTGTATAAGTGGACCCGTGCAGTTCAAACCAGTGTTGTCAAGGCCCAGTTGTATTATTAAGGTGTCTGATTTCAATTCTTTTTTTTTTTTAGAGAGAGTTTATTTATTTATTTATTTTTTGAGTTGGAGTCTCACTCTGTCGCCCAGACTGGAGTGCAGTGGCCACTCCCGGCCACCGCAGCCTCAATCTGCTGGGCTCCAGCGATCCTTCTGCCTCAGCCTTCCAAGTAGCTGGAACTACAGGTGTGCGCTACCACGCCCAGCTAATTTTTTAATTTATTGTAGAGATGAGGTCTCGCCAAGTTGTCCTGGCGGGTCTCGAACCCGCGGACTCAGGCAATCCACTCACCTCAGCCTCCCAAGGCTCAGGATTACAGGCTGAGCCACTGAGCCCAGCTTGATGTCAATTCTTAATAAAGGCTGTACATTAGCTGAGTCTTCATTTATCAAGTCTTTAAGATGACTCCAGGCTCCAAATTAGACCTTGTATTCAAGATCCTAGTCTCTCTGTGGTCCTTTCCCTTGGGAAACTGGGGAAGAGGGAGCTTGGCAGTCTTTTCTATACAAGGCACTGGGCTATAAGCCTTATTATACATGAACTGCCAGGGTGAAATATTGCCCCTCTAGAGAGGGGATAGGGAAGGTGGTGGTGAGCTGATCGGAGAGACCCAGCTGGGTTCGGATTCTGAGGTCTAGGGTGCTTGTTCTCCAGATCTCTTGTTCTCCTCTCAGAAATTTCCTCCAAGAGTGGATACTATGGAAGCCACAATTCTAGGGAGAGGTCTGAATACATGCTCAATATTTTAAGGTTTGTCTGATGTAAGCAACACCATCCAGGAATAGGGAAGAATGAACGTCCTCCATGAGGGGCTTGGTCTTGGTGACAGATGAATTTCAGGACAGGCTGTGATGGGTTCCAGACATCCTTCCAGCAGGGAGGAGGCAGCCTCCTATTATGCAGGCCCTGAATCTCAGGAGCTGCCCTGGTCACAGGAAAACAGCCAGAGGTTCGAGACCCGCCTGGGCAGACGAGACCTCATCTCTACAATAAATCAAAAAATTAGCCGGGCGAGGTCGAGGCTGCGGTGGCCGGGAGCGGCCACTGCACTCCAGTCTGGGCGACAGAGTGAGACTCCAACTCAAAAAAAAAAAAGAAAATAGCCAGAGGAAGTTTGAGCTGCTGCTACCTGGCCAGTTTCCTGCCTTCGAGGAGTCTATTGTTTTGCACCAATATGGCTGAGACCACAACCTACTCCCATCAGTAACAGTGGATCCTCCACCAGGGACCCCGGGACATCAGGGAGAGACATCAAGGGACTAAGGGGCATTTCCTGACACCTGACAGGCATATTCCTCTCCTTGAAAAAATTCACTTTTCTAAGCCATGAACAACAATGGTTGGTTCTTCTGTTAAACATTTTCTTCTAATCAGTCATTTTAACGTAAGGGATAGCGCAGCCCACAGCAAAAGGACCTGTGTGAACTAGCACAATAACCCCTTGGAGTTGTTTGCCATGCAGCCCCAGCACTCTGACTTATACAAATGCTTAGAGCAGTTCTGTGAGGCTGGGGACGGGAGTGCCCAGTTCACCAGTGAGGACAAGGGCCCGTCCTGAGTGACATAGCCGGGGAGTGACATAGCCGGGGAGTGACAAAGCTGGGCCTTGAACCTCAGTCCCCAATCCCTGTTCTGTTCCTCTCCTCCAAGTGTCCTTTGCTGCCCAGTTTGCTGACCTGGCCCCGTGCTCAGCAAGCTCAGGCGCCTGCATCTCTGTACCCTGAAGAGGTATGGAACAAAGGGAACAAGTCATCCCTCTGGCCTGACCATCATGGCTTGCAAGCAAGCTCATCCTCTTTGTCCTCCAGTGGTCCCGGGGGAGGGAACCACAGCTCCCTACCTCAAAAGCACATGCTGCCTGAGGAGAAGCCCACGCAGCTTCCCCCTGGATTTAGAAAGGGGAACAGGAAGAAGAGGTCATGGGAGGAAAGAATGTATTTGTTACGGTGTCAGAAGGCAGCGATCTGTGAGGAACATTAAGACAAGCTACGTGTGCAGAAAGAACACAGACACGGGAACTCAGGCAGACACTTAAGAACAACAGGTGGTAGGGATAACGCGCCGGGTGGAAGGAGAAGGAGAAAAATGGCGACCGGTGCTCACACCCCAGGTGCAAACAGGGAGGTGATTAAAGCAAGACACCCCAGGGAGGCCATGAGTAATCCGCTGCCCCTTCTCACAGCTACTGCCGTTAACTCGGGTGCAAAGAGAGGGAAAACACACTGCCAAGTCTGGATGGGCAAGTCCAGCTGAAGGCAGGCTGAGGCACCACCTGGAGGACACACTTGAATGTTCTCCGAGGCCATTCGAGGCTGAGGCTGCTGCTCCAGTTTCCCCCTGCAGCTGGAAGATGGCTCTGTCTGCCCCTCCCCACTTCCCGTCCCTCCTCATGCACCTCCAGCTCTCCTCGGCCTCCACTGTGGAAAAGAATAAAGAAAAGGGCATGGGCTTTCTGTGGAGGGAGACCTGGCCTCAAATCCTAGTATAGTAAGTTCCCTACATACAAACTTTCAAGTTACAAACTTAATGATGCACACGTGTTTTGTATGTATTATTTCTCTCCACCAGGTGTCAGTATAGCCCGTTAAACACATACAGTACTATATAGCCAATTGTGTTAGTTGGCTACCTAGGCTAACTTTGTTGGACTTACAAATGTGCTCTTGGAACGGAACTCGTTCGTATGTTGTGGACTTCCTGTATATTACTTAAGGTTTGTGCAAAAATAAATGGAGGGATTACACTGCTTGTTTACAAGGATAGTTGTATGAAATGGAATGTACCAGACATGCCCAGAGCAAGGTGCCTCACCACAGACGTTTTGTTGTGGGACTAACCTGCCCAATCTAGGACGGTTAGCAGCATTCCTGGCCTCAACCCACTAAATGCCAGTAGCACTCTCTTGCCATGTCCCGGTTGTGACAAAGATGTCTCCAGAAATTGCCAAATGTCTCCTGGGGGCGTGTGCAGTGGGCCCGAAAATCACCCAGGGTTCAGAAACACGAGTGTAGAGCATGGTAGTTATTTCACCAGATATTTTCCTCTCTCCCAAAGAAGGACACTTACAACAAAAAATGTTGAACTATTCTAAAACATTCTTAGAGTTTAAGCAGGTGGTAAGAAAGCTAACAACTACAAACAAGTTTCTTCTCTTTCAAAGGAGGGCTAATTAGCTCTTAGTTTTGAAACTAAGGGTGGAATTTGCAGATCTTCTTACCAGTCTCCATAACACCAACATCTAAGTTATCACAGCTTTGCCTGATGTCTTAGTCTATTCAGGCTGCTATAACAAAATACCATAAACCAGGTGGCTTGTAAACAGCAGAAATGTATTGCTCACAGGTCTGGGGACTGGGAAGTCCAAGTCCAAGGTGCCTGTGGATTTGGTGTCTGGTGAGGGCTGGCTTCCTGATTCATAGGCAAGGCCTTATTGTTATGTCTTCACATTTTGCAAAGGGAGAGGACAGTCTCTCTCTTGAGACTCTTTTATAAGTGCACTGATCCAACTCTACCTTCAAGACCTAATCACCTCCCCAAAGCCTCACTTCATAATACCATCTCATTGGGGGTTAGGGTTTCAGTATATGAATTTCTAAAAGACACAAACATTCAGGCTGCAGCACCTGACATTCACAGGCATTGCTAAGAAGTGGATGGGAAGGAACACCTGGATAGGGTAGATTGAGAAGTGTAGTCACTGGTTCAGCTGTACTCCCTGCTAGGGTAGCAACAGGGTACTCAGATCTGCTATAGGGACAGCCTTCTCTCCCCACTTGGTGACATTCCTTGGGATGTGGGCCCAGCTGTCAGATAATCTCAGTGTAAGTGGAACTTCTAAGTAAAACACAATTGTCACAGGGGGTCAGACCAGCGCCAAAGTCTGTGGGGTTCTCATCCTTGTACTAGATACAATACAGGTCTCACTGCAACTTGCGACTGCCTTCCTCTTGGGTGACTTTCCCACAGGGGACTCCTACTAGGCTCACAGATAACTGAAAGCTCAGCTCTTCATCCTGTGAGTATGCTGTAGTTCTTTGGCTCTTGGAGCAGTCACATGCATGCCACCAAATCTTCTGCTCCATGCCATCATTCTTTAGCTGGGACTCTGGTTTAAGCACTCATGGTATCAATTTAGACATTACAGCCAAAAGCAGTCGAGAAAATGTCAACACAAAGGCCACACAGGAAATGAGGAGTGATGCTATGACGACTTTTCCTTGATTTAAAAAATATTAACACTAAGACGGCAGCTCACATCCTGTGGCGGTTTGATAGACATTAAATGCGGCCACCACTCCCACCACCATCACCACCACTATAACCAAACTCCAAGGGTGGAGAAATGACGTGAGTTAGAATGGCTTACTCATGTCCATCTCCACTAAGGCCAGAGTAAGAGAACAATGACTTCAATTGCAGCCAGGGGAATTCAGGCCAGGGAAAACCAATTATCTTGAGGGAGGAGGGCTTTGAAATATACGACCACGTTGCTGAAGGCAGGTCAAGAGTACCTTCCCTGTAAGAGGAGTGGTCTTCCAAGGTGGGAGCTACTCCCCAGCCAAGGAGGATGAAATGGGGAGAGAAGGCGGGTTGAGAAAATGGAGGGGGTGGTCTCATGACGTCTCACCTAGCCAGATGATGCTGTGACATTAAAGGTGGGCTTGGTACTAGGAGCAAACCTGGACATCCACTTGTCCATTCCCGAGTCCCAACAAGCACTCATTAAAAGAAGGAAAAATAACCATGTAGAACATCTTCTGCTGGAGAGGACGACAGGGGCCGTGAGGATGGGTCCTGCCCACCCCCGGCTGCATCAGGTGCCTCTGAGAATGCCAGATGACCTCAGATTTGGTTCCTCCTCTGACCCGGTCTGACTAGGAACTGTCACTAAGCTGGGAGAGGGGCAGCCTCTCCCACTGGGAGTTTTCCTGGCCACAAAGACTTGTGTTAGTCTATCAGGAGAGGCCATGTACGGGTTAAGACACACCACAGGGCAGAGCTGTTGTCTTCCTTCTCACCCTGACACCCAAAGTTCAGCTGAACCTTCTGGGAAGACCGGTCTGGCCAGCGACGTGCCTGATGTCCAGCAGGAAGAGAAACCAGGAACTCTGACATATTAAACAAAATTGTTGGTAGAACAGGCCACGGAGTGCCAAGGAATGCCTGTAGAGTCAAGTAAAGTCCAAGACAAGATAAAAATGATCAATTTAGAGTTGTTTCTTGGCAAAGTAGCTCAGCACACTTCCCTGGTGTGACTTTTTAACCCTGCTATTCATACTGGACAAAGATAAGTTTTGGGAACAATGTGAAATAGAAGTGTTACAGAAGAATTGAATGCAACTCAAATCCTTATCAATAAAGTCATGACTTAGAGTTTATTAAGAGAGTCGATAATTGAAGATACTCTAAAACGAACCTCCCTGTAATTAAAACAACCACTTCCTGGTCAGGCATAGTGGCTCACACCTAAAATCCCAGCAATTTGGGAGGCCGAGGCAGGAAAATCCCTTGAGGCCAGGAGTTCAAGACCAGCCTGAGCAACAAAGCGAGTCCTCATCTCTACAAAAAGTAGAAAAATTAGCCAGGAGTGGTGGCACACGCCTGTAGTCACAGCTACCTGGGAGGCTGAGGCAAAAGGATCACTGGAGCCCAGGAGACGGAGGCTGTAGTGAGCCATGATTCTGCCACTCCACTCCAGCCTGGGCAGAAGAGTAAAATGCTGCCTAATCAATCAATCAATCAACCACCAAGTAATGTTTACAAGCACGCTTTTTTGGCATAGTCTATGGTCTAAAGTTGGGAGACCATACGACTGTACACAGCCAAAGACCCAGGAAATGCTATCCTCCCGCCTCTGCCGCCTACTTAGATTTGAGTTCGACTCCAGCAAACTATAGAGACAGAGGTAGCGTCTTGTTTGTGTAAATGAGGACAGACGGATTAAACCATGTCTCCAAACCACAGGTGATGGCATCTTGTCAAATACCTCCATCTCAGAATCAATGTCAAGTTGCTTCAGGTCTCAACAAGCAGACAAGGATCTCTGTGTTCCCACAGAGGAAAAGGGCACAGAAGACACCCAGCTGTTCTGCTCAGTGAGTTCTGTGTCACGCCCTGACACTCACCTCCAGCCAGCTTCCCCTCACCTTGTACCACTGTTGTCCACACCTGGGTTTGGAACTTTGCAGGCCTGGGGGTGGGGGGAGGAAAAAAAAACTCTGCAGGCCCAGGGACAGACCAGGTGTGGGAGAAGGGCCAAACAGGGCATGGTGGTCAGCTCTCTGAGCCTCTGTCTGCCATGCTGAGCCCAGGCAGTTGTTAGTTTTAAGGTCAAGAAACGGATCAGAAGCAAATGGGCAGGTCAAGTGAGTCTAAGGGGGGGGACTTTCTGTCAGAAGGGACACCATCTTGGAAGTCACAGAAAACTTGTGATTTCCTCTACTTTACCGAGCAGGGGATTATCATGAAATTCTTGTGCCTCCTGTTGATCCCAAAGACTCTGTTCCATCAGTGAAACCCTGGTGGTAGAGTGGCTTTCAACCATGCAACAAAGTTCCTTGACTTCTGATTCAGAGTGAGACCAATCACCTGGCTGCTGGGCAGGCTCTCACTACTTCCAAAAGCCATGGCAGGCAGAGAAGCATCTGGTTGCTGGGATCTGACAAATTCACAGATTCCTTTGTGCGGTATGGGAAGCACTGACAACCTAAGAACTCTGCAGATGTGAGGAGGTGGCCCATGGAAGACATCAGGCAATGAGCAGGGTGGTCAGAGTGGAATTACTTGTCCCAAGACAAGCCTCCCCTGTGATCAGTGAGCCCCAGGAAGCTGGAGCAAGCAGGCTCTCTAGTCCCCTGGAAAGCTAGGGCTGCAGATGAAGGCTTTCCTAAGTGCCACCCCAACCCTAGTCAATGGGGGAAGCCCCCGGCCCCACACCTGCGCCTTGGAAGCAGAAGGTTCCCAACCCAGTGGTCACAGGGATCTCTTTGCCTCATCTGCGGCCAAAACCACCTCTCAGGCAGGAGGGAGATGGGGAGCCATGGTCAAATGCACTCCCTGCCTCAGGTCCACTTCAAAGATCTGTAAAACACTGGAAGGAAGGTGGACCAGAAAGCCAACCAGACCCATCTCCTAGCTAGAAATGCCTGCAGCTGCAAGCACACAAACCCACAGATCCGTGCTCCACCAGCCTAACTCCTCACCTGGCTCGTGGAAAGGTCATCGCAGAGGGCTCTTCCCTACAAAAGACTGGGGATTCCTGAGGCAAGACATATGCCAGGTGAGCGAGGGAACCGGAGTCCCCTGCAGCAGCAGGTTGGTGGCATCCACCGTGTACTCCTTGGGAACCAACACGCTCTCAAGGGAAACCGTCCGGCTCAGGGGGTCTTGCAGCCCTTGGGCGGTGAATGGTGGTGGATCCCTGATCCTCCTCTCTCCCCGTTTCACCTGAAAAGGTGCTGCAGCCCAGGTCCTGGCTTGAGTGGGACTGCCTTGTCACAGGGAGGGCAGCCTAGGGCCAGGTGCCTGGGGCTCACAGCCACACCTCCTGTGGGTGCCGCCTGGCCTCACGCTACCCTGCACAACACACGTTGGGCATAACCAACTCTCGCGGTGCTTGAGTGTGCGATACCTCTGGAGGGGGGTGGTAGGTGGAGGGTGGGGGGCTTATTTATGTTTTTGCAATTTGTGTGTTCTTGAGAGCCTAAAGGAACTGGGAAGAGAGGGTTTTCTGAACCCCCTTGGAGGATTTTTGAACAAAATTAGATTCTGGCAGTTCTTTCAGGATGATGAATAACCCAAGATACAGGTTCATTTATCACTCCCAATATTTGACTCCCACCAAGGCATTTCTAAAAACCAGGCAAGAAAAATATTCTAACGTCTCAGATCACTGTTTTGTTCTGCTGCACCGAGGGTAGGTAGTTCTGTACAACGTATATGTCTAAGGCTGGGGGGTGGGCAAGGGGAAGGGACATTTTTTTCCTACTTGCAGCAGTGTTTTACAAGAAGGTTAACACAGGAAAATAATGACGGCCTGTCTTCCACATCCCAGCTCAGCCATCGCCAGGTGGCCGCCTGCCGTCTCCTCAGGGGGGACCCTCTGTGGCCATGGCCTGTGGGTCATGCCAGGATGAAGTCTGAGCAACCACCACAATGGCTTAACTCAAGGAGAAGGTGTGAAAAGGGAATTGGCTGGGCAAGAAAGGATGAAGGTGGCTTCTGAAATGTTGAGCCGGAAGTGACAAGGCAGTTTAACTGGGGACGCACTCACTCTAGGCTGGTCCAAGTGCACAATTAGGGAAACGAGGCGTGAATTTTGGGAGCCATCTGCATCCTGGCAAACGTTTGTTAAAGGTACAGGCACCATTCGGGGTTCTTTGTGTGGATTATTTAATTCAGCCTTTTCAACAGCCCTATGAGAGAGGTGCCCCTGCGAGCCCCGTTAGAGACGAGAAACTGATCTCCACAGCCTGTGCGGTGCTCTGTCCAGCTTTCCCGCGCTACCTTCTGGAATCTCCTCTGTTCAAATCCCCGTTAGAACAATGACTGCTTCTAAGGCAATTATCTCCACATATTGGAACACCGTTCTCTAGTTTTACTTTTCCTGATTTTAGGCATATAAAAATGCTTCATTTTAGAGTCTCACTTTGAAACTAAAGAATGGTTATTTTAAATTGTACTACTTACTATGTTTTAACCATAGCAGTATAACCACACATGCAAAAAAAAAAAAAATGCTCAAAAAGCCTGTAGTAATGAGTCCCCATCTCTTCTCCTCATCCCTAGTTTTATTCCCAAAAGGTAAAACAGTTTTTTTTAGCTTCTGAATTGCTCATAGTCTTGATTTAAATAGTCTGTTGATAACACGAATGTTTCCCGTATATCCACCTTAGTCTGTGGGGTCCTCCTTATACACGTTGAGGGATACGGTCCACCTCCTTCCTACCACTGCTTTCTTTCTGCCTTTGTTCTATTAAAGTTACAGTGCTTGATACTGTTCTTTAGATATATTTCATCGATGCTTTATTCTCAGACCAATTCAGAAAAATGAAATTCAAATAAAAAGTGAATGAGGACAACATTGAGGTGCTAACACGGTATTCTCTACATAATCCAGTTGCTTTATGAAGGACAGCAAAGCGATCTTAAGGGTTTAAACTCTTCTCATTTGATGAGGCAGCTCCAAGAATTATGGTCCAGGGGATTCTTCCTTGATACTTGTTGGCATCCTGGCATCCTTCCTTTCCTCCCTCTCTCCCTCCCTCCATTATTTTTCCTTATGGTAAAATACATATAATTGTTCCTTATGGTAAAATAACATATCATTGAGCATTTTCACCACTTTCAAGTGTAAAGTTCAAAGTCATGAAGTATGAAGACATTCACATTGTTGTGCCATCGTCATCTCCATCCATCGCCAACTCTTTTGATCTCGTAAAACTGAAACTCTGTACCCATTAAATTCTAACTCCCCATTTCAGTCCCTAGCAACCATCATTCTACTTTCTGTCTGTGTGAATGTGATTCCTCCAGGTGCCTCATATAAGAGGAATTTCAGTTTCTGTGATGTCTTCCTTCCATCCTTCTTACTTTCTTAATAGAGGTGAGGTCTCGCTATGCTGCCCAGACTGGTCTCAAACTCCCAAGCTCCACTGCACCTGACACCCACCCTCCATTTTTTTTTTTTAAGAGATGGGGACTCACTCTGTCACTCAGCCTTAAGTGCAGTGGTGCAATCATAGTTCACTACAGCCTCGACCTCCCAGGTTTAAGCAATCCTTCTGCCTCAGCCTTCTGAGTAGCTGGGACTACTGTTATGTACTACCACACCTGGCTAATTTAAAAAAAAAAATTCGTGTAAAGACGGGGTCTGGCTATATTGCTCAGGCCGGTCTCTAACTCCTGGCCTCAAGTCAGGTCTCCTGTCTCGGCCTCCCAAAGTGCTAGGATTATAGATGTGAGACACCATGCTGGGCCTATCATCTTTCTTTTCTCATACTACTCCTTTCTTAGTTCCTCCTTCATTTTGTCAGAGAGCGTTCTTAGCCTCATAGGGAATGCATGGCAATAAATTCGAACTCCTTACATAAATAAGAATTGTGGTACTGCTCTGTGATTTAACAGTTTCACTTGATATGGAATTCTATATCCCAAATCCCCTCTCTTTACTATCTTGAGGGCACGGTCCCCTCATTTTCTAGCATTCTATGCTGTTGCTGAGAAGTCTGATGCCAGTTCCTTTTTCGTTTCCTTGTAATTAAGCTGATTTTTCTCTCTGGATGCTCTTAACATTTTTCATCTTTGATTCCGGAGTTTTCAAATTCACCAATCTATGTCTTTTCTCCATTCCTACTAGTTAGCATTCGGTAGATTCTTTAAATCTACAAAGTTGTGTTTTACTCCAGCTCAAGAAGAAATTTACTGCATTCCATCTTTGACTTTGTGTCTATGAACTGGAGGATTGTTTTCCATTTAACCTTCCAGATAGTCAGCTTGGTCTTTCATCCAGAACATTCTAACCAATGTATCTATTTAACTTTTTAAGAATTTTTGACGATTCTAGGATTAATTTTCTTATTTTCTGAATGTTTCTTTTTCATCCTCGTCAGTTCTTGCTTTATGAACACAGTAAGTATCCTCTAGAATATCCAGCTGAACATACACTTAGGAATTTTTTTTTTTTTTTTTTTGAGTTGGAATCTCACTCTGTCACCTAGGTTGGAGTGCAGTGGCACACTCACGACCACCCCAGTGTTGACCTGTTGGGCTCCAGCGATCCTTCCGCCTCAGCCTTCCAAGGAGCTGGTATTACGGGTGTGCACTACCAAGTCTGGCTAATTTTTTTTATTTATTGTAGAGATGAGGTCTCGCTGAGTTGCCCGGGCTGGTCTCAAACCTGCAGGCTCAGGCAATCCACTTGCCTCCGCCTCCCAAAGTGCTGGGGTGACAGGCTGAGCCACCGAGCCCAGCCTCACTTAAGATTTTTCTCTTTCACCTCCCAGGTTGTCTGTTTTCTCCAGGGCAGGCTGTCCTACTTATTTCGGTCCCTCTTGTTCCTTCTCTGGGTTTTTCTCATGTGTCGTCTATGCCTTTGCATCACAGCAATGGAGGCATATAAAAATGACATCGACAAGGTAGCCCAAAAGGATGTCCTCTGGATTTGTACAAGTCTGTTTCCCTAACAGGCCTCTCTGACAACTCTAAAATTTCATTTCAAAAGATTCCAGTTTCAACTAGGAAGTCAGGTTACAGAGGATGAGGGAGGAACAAAGAGGAGAAGAGATGGGTGGAGCAATAAGAAAGATAAGTGGAATACATTTTTAGATTACACCACTACGGTGCTGAAATGATTTGAGAGCACGTTCTTCACATGGCTACTTCCTAGACAGAAACACAAGGAGTGACAGGCGGCAGCCAAGGTGACATGCACCAGGAACAGGAGGCAGGAAGTACAGAGCCGCCCTTGGGAGCAGACCAACCCGCACGCATGCGGGGTGCGGCAACATGTAAGCGAAAGGGTGCATGTGTTGGGTGGGCTCTCTCTCACACAAAGACACACGCACCACACATACACATACACACACACGAGCAGCAATGGTGAGTGAGAACAGGAGCACGTGCAGGGGTGAGCTTACACACAGGCAGGGGTGCAACGGTGGTGGGAGTGGAAGGGCATGTGAACAGGTGTGAGCTCACTCATGCAGACACAGCAATGGTGTGAGCAAAAGGGAGCATGCGGGTGTGAGTGTGCATGCACACACATAAGCTCAAACGCATGCGTGGGTGGAAACAGACTGGGAAGTGGCCTTCTAAATACATGGAAACAGAATACACAGAAACAGAAGTCTACGTCAGCCATTTAAACGCCAAAACCCACTAGGCTCTCTTCCCCAAAGCCTGTCTTTTTGGATCTACGGAACAGCCCTGACTGTCAGACAGGGTCAGTGTGTCACGAGGATGCTCCCAGGACTGGTCTGTGATTAGGGGCGTCAAGCTTGGGGGCAGCACACCAACAGGTGCGCCGAGGGAGGAGAGAGAATCAGTGAGAGGGTTGGTGCCAAACAGCTGCCCGGGGCACAGATGAACAAGGTGAAGGCCTGTGAATCTGCCTTCAAGCTAGAAGAAACCTTTGCGCGTAAAGCGTTAGTAAAAGCACGGATGAAAGTCAGATTGCAAAGGGCGGAAGGAGGACAAGGAGGTCAGGAGGTGAAGCCCATGGAG